GAAAGAGTCGATGCAAAGAACAGAAGGTAGACAAGATATCTGGGTCAAAAGACAGCTTGGCTCTGCCCTCCTCCCACCCATTGCTGGCTCCTGCCTCCCCATGGAGGTATGTGTCTCCCCCTCTCCACCTCAGTCCTTCTAATCTGCTTGCAGGTCCTCTAATGCACCAAGCCTTTGCCGCTGGCAGTCCTCTGTCTGCCCTCCATCCCATGGATTCGCTCCTCCAACCCCCCTAGCCTGCAAGTTCGCAGAAGCAGAGCCGGTGTCGTGACCCCTCTGTACCCCAGTACCTAGCCTGCTGCCCAGCCCGGAGCAGCTGCTCCAAGCAAGTCTGCTGGGTATGCTTGCGTTAGTCTCGAGCTGTCCAATGGAGGCCCCGTGGGTGGTGGCGCCTTGCAAAAGCCTGTCCAGCTGAGGAAGTGAGTGACGCTGAAAGTCAGGCTGGATGGCGCCTTGGCTGTGGCCACTCCAAGGGTGAGGCTCTTTTTCTAATTTGCACAAAGGTGCCATATGGGTTGGGGTAGCCCTGTCTGTGGTGGTCTCTACATGTTACTGTGATGTGATGGGTGAACCTTCCCAGCTGTCATCCGGAACCAGCACAGATACAAACTGTGCTCAAAATAAAACAACGTTCAAAATCGGTGCCTAGCTCATGTGTAAACACACTGGATAAAGGAGGACACTGAAATGACAAGTATAAGCCCAAAGGTCAGTGTAGAGATCAGAAGAGAAAAGTTGCAGAGTAACCCTTTACAACATGTAGCCAGAACTGTTCACCAGAAAGAAAAGGAGAGTTTATAACACCTAGCAGTTACTACAGTCAGGAAATGTGCCTTTTAGTAGAACATGGATAGATGGTTATTCTCTATCATAAAATAGGTAAAATACCCCTGAAGCTATTTATTTTCCCTTGCTATGCTTTCAGGTTCCAAATTACGTCCCATTACTAACTTTGTTTTGTCAAGTGCCTCAATACTGGAAAAGAGGCAACCTGAACATGCAGTTCCTAGGAAGTAACTACCTAACCCCCACTGTCAGCTCCCGCCCCCCACCAACACATACACATCACACACAGTAAAATGAATACGTTTGCAGGAAACCCAGATTTCTAACAGTTAGAAAGAAAACAGCCCCTGCAGGCTCCATGGCCTGATCTGTACAGTGAGGGACTCTCCATCCCCTGGAAATGCACCACCCATTAGGAGGCAGTGTGGGGTTGTGAGGAGGCCCTGAACCTGGGGTCTGGTTCCAGGCACAGCCAAGTGCTGTCTGAGCTCTGCCTCTCTGAACTGAGGCAGATAATTTCAAAGGCCTTTGCCAGTCCCCTGACCCTATGCTTGTGGGCCTGATTCGACCACAAACTCGTAGACCCAAGCTGCTGTGTGACAGTAGGGTTACGCTCTAGTGCAGGCCCTGTCAACCGGGGGAAGGACACTGCTCTCTGAAAACTCTTCCTCCCCAAAATGCAATAATGAAGCTTTGAAGCAACAGGAACATTCAAAAGAGAAATAGCCTTGAATCGAGAATTCTTTTCTGCTAAACATGAGATATGTATGGGGAAATCTTCCCATTAAGATATATAGGTGCATCATAACCCAAGCTAGGAAAGTGGATAGAACAAAACTATCTTTGGGCATCTTCTTGGAACTGGCCAGTTTCCCTCTTCATGATATAGAATGGTTTCTAAGTGATTACTCAAGCTCTAGCTCAGGAACTGCTTGACTCAAAGGAAGAGATTCTCAGCTACCCTATACAGGCATACCTCGGCTCCAGACCACTGCAATAAAATGAATATAAAGGGAGTCACGCAAATTTTTTGGTTTCCCATTGCATATAAAAGTTATGTTCACACTATACTGTAATCTATTAAGTGTGAAATAGCATTTTGTCTAAAAGAAATGTACGTATCTTAATTTAAACATACTTTATTGCTAAAAAATACTAACCATCATCTGAACCTTCATCAAGTTCAGCAGTAGTAACATTAAAGATTACTGATCACACGTCACCATAACAAATATAGCAATAATGAAAAAGTTTCAAACGTTGTAAGAATTACCAAAACGTGACAGAGGCACGAAGTGAGCAAATGCTATTGGAAGAACTCAATTAAGGGGTGCCACAAACTTCAACTTGTTTAAAAAAAAACGCAGTTATCTGCGAGGTTGCAGTATAGCGAGGTATGCCTATACATCTCTCCCCCTCTCCCAGGGAGATTCTGTCTGGTTTCTTCTTCCCTGGAAATGTGTGAGAACATGGTGCCTAATAGTGTTTTGTGCTTTTTAGGGCCTGTGTGGCCTTGGGCTCGGAGAAGGACAGGTATCCTCTGAAGGTCCTGAACTAACGCCTCCCTTGGGCACCAGCCAGGTCAAGCATGGCTCCAAAGCCGTAACTCGTGTGATAAACAGGAACACTACTGAAGGCTTTAGAAACCACTTCTCCTGGAGAAAAAGTGTTAGGTCTGAAGGGGGAATGAAAAATACCAAAATGCCAAGCACCATCTCACTTTGTATTAGATAAGCAGCACCTGGTTACCTTGTTAGGCGGGACGGCGTAGAGTTCAGGCATCAGGTGGATCCCGTTCTTGCCTCTGATTAATATTCCCTCCAGGGCCTCTCGGTATTCTTGGACCTGGAAAATAGCCCCATCCCCCACGGTAGGAAACAGCAGTGCAACACAGAAAAACAGCTCTCTTGGCAACAAACAGATCAGAAGTAGGACACAAGGCTAAGAAATGCACAAATACCTTCAGCTCAAGGACTGCAGGAGGAACCTGGACTCTTGCTGACAGCAAATGTTAGGAGGAGCTAAATGCGACTGGCCTTTTATGTGTTGTCTTTAATTCGTGATTTAAATACTTCACTCTTAACTTCTCACATATTTAAATTTTGTCTCACCAGCTAGACTATAAGCTTTATGGAGTGGAGGCCAGATCTTAAGCAGTGCATCCATTTCCACCTGTTGGTAGTTTTCCACTGAAGAAGCCCTCGTTCAAACATTTATTGCTCACGAAATATTTGCTGAACCAATAAGATGTGAAGAAAAGGAAGTGTAGGTACTATGATCCATGTACCCCAATTTTTAGGATGTGCTACTCAGTAAAAGCTGTTGATGCAAACATTTCTATTAAATTAAAAAGGCAGCGATAAAACCCTATACATTAAAAGGGAAATGGAGAGAAAAAAACCCCTAACAGCCACCCAGCTATTTGACACATTTCATCTTTGGAGAGCCCAGTCAAATGCCTTCCAGATCTCATTTTCTTTTCGTTTGAAATTTATGGACAGCAAAGCACGACAGGGTGCATCACTTTAAAATGGGACTGGGCAGCAAGTGGAAGAGACAGCACAAGGGACTAAGAAGTAAATTCTGTGAGACCTACAAAATAAGGTACTAAACAGGCTTTTCTGTCTCCTTAGTTTTTTGTTGTTGTTGTTGTTGTTTCTGATAATTTTCAAGCTTGCGCATAATTGAAATTCCAACTCAATCTTTTTGAGATCTTTCAGTCTTGGGATAAAAAGACAGAAAACGTTAAGAACCGAGATAATCACTAAAGCATAAGAGTGAGAATCAACAAAGAGGGAACATTAATATTTGAAGTTTACTGCCGCTTCTGAAACACCTCTGCATTCCTCAATAGAGGCAGCTTTCAAAAACTCAAACGAATCTTAGATTGCATATCCTACCCCAGAATATGTGATCTGAACAGATTAAAAAAACAGCAGTGTTTGAGTTTGTCAGCCCCATAAACTTCATGAGGACAGGTCTGTTCTGCTCACCAAAGTATGCACGGCAGCAAATGCTACAGAAATCTGTCTCGAACAAATGAATGCTGCATTAACAAATATTCACTGAGTACTTACTATGTACTAGGCATGGGGCATACACCAGTGAACTGGATAGAGACCACCTCCACCAGGGTCCTTTGACAACTAAGTGGGAAATACTGTTACAGGTGCCAAGCTGTTATAAGAACTGTGGGGCATATAAAAGGGGTACCTGACCCAGCTTTTAGGCTTTCTGAAAGAAGAGACACTTAAAACGAATCACGTGAAGGAGGGAGGGGAAGTTGGGGGTTGAAAGCATATCCTGGGCATTTGAGAGAAGGGGAGAGACAGCATGGCCTGCTCAAAGGACTGAAAAAGTTTCCACGTGCTTGGATTACAGAACTCAAGAAAGGAAATAAGTAACAAGAAATTGGGGGTGCACTGGTGAAAACGAGGGCCCGATCTTATGGGATCCTACAAAACGTGTGAAGAGCTTGTACCTCATCCCAAAAGCAGTCAGGAAGCCATTCAAAGCTTTTAAGCAAAGCAGTAGCATAATCTCTTTCTTAATAAGATCACTCTGGCAATGGTGTGGAGAAACAGCAGGAAGCGAGGCTGGGAGACCAGTTAGGAGGCTGATACACTAATTGAGACATTAGCTAAGAGTACCCTTAAGGACGGCAAAACCACAGCTGGTCTGAAAAGAACAGCAGCAACAACAAAACCTGTCTGTGGAAGACTGTTTGGTGGCCCCCGACGACCCCCTGCCTCCTAGTCCTCCAGCCTTTATGTAGGGCTCTCCCCTTGAATGACTTACGATAAAAGGCCCTCATATGTAACATACTGGGTTAGGCTAATCAACAGAGAATTACCTGTCACCTGTTTTATCCTAAGCCGAAATTTGGTCCTCTCCTTGTGTCCTCAGATTAAAAAAAAAAAAAATGACCCTGGCATCTACCCTTGTCAAGGTTCTACATGGCCAGGATATTATAGAAACCATACTTAACTTTTCCCAGCCTGTGTCCCTTCCATATTTAATATCTAATTGTTTCAGCCAAACTGATAATGATCAAGACACTCCAATATGGAAAAAGGTAAGACACTTGATCCCTGGCTTATCCTATATAAAATCCCTAAAAATAAGAGCCTAAGTTTTAACAATGTCTGGCATTCTATGTGCCCCCTCAGGCTACATCTTTGTCTATGGTTTACCAACCTTGGGCCTATGAATGCCTTGACAGCTGGCACATAGGTGGTATTTGTTTATTAGGATCAAAATGTTAACTTGAAACTAGCAACAAGCGAATATTTTCAAATGAGTGCTAAACAGTTTCATTTCACAAGCCCTAGTTGGGTCTATGCCCCTTATCGGCAGCAAGTATCCAGAGTGGTAATCGCCCTTCTGCCCTTAAGATGGAGGAACGATCAAAAGATGGGGGGGGGGGGGGGCTGTCCTGGGGGGTGCAGGGTGTTACCTTGGCTCCTATAGAAGTCTAGGTAAAATAGTTACATCCCAAAAGGCACAGAGAAAGACTGCAAGTTTCACCAAGGACTTTTGTTCCCTATGTCCAGATCTTTTACATCTATAAGCCTCTTGAGATGAATAGGGGAGGTTTGTGGACAAAAAAAAAAAAAAAAAAAAGATAGGGGGGACTGAAACCAAGCGTAATCATTAGTCAAATCCATTTTACCTGTAACCTGCCTTCACTAATCAAAGTCCTTTTAAGACCTCCAAGTCCTCCAAGCAGCACTTAGCCTGAATAATAAGATGTTTGCCCGAGTTGTTGTCTAGGAACTTGGAGTCAGCTGTGTCTGGTTCCAACTGAGCTGGTTAAGACTGGTTAGGACCACTGACCCTCCAATTGGGCATGCCCAAGTGTCCGCTGACCTTTTGGCATCAGAGGGCTGAAAACTCCACCCTCAGAGCATGCTAAGCACCTCCATTTTGGAACATGCAGAGAGCCCTGCAGCCTAGTTACACTTGGGCAGAATGACAATTACTGCACCTTTTTCCAATCACCTTTCCCCAGCCTCAGACCGCCCTGCTGCTTTATCCTTTATCCCATAAATACACTGAGCCCCTTACCTTCGCTCAGGTAGACCTGAGACTTTCTCCTTGCATGGCTACCTTGCGAATAAACCCTCTTTTTGCTGCAAACCTCAGCATCTCAGCGTTTTGGCTTGCTCGTTGCACTCTGGCAAAACAAACCTGGTTTGGCAACAATAGCCCTTAAACAAGAGAATGCAACAGATGTGACACTTTGCCAGTTCCAGGCCTAAACCTTAAGAAAGCTTGGCAGCTTTTGCTTTCGCATTCTGGGAGAAGATGACCACCATGTAAAAAGCTTAATTGTCCAGAGACTGCAATACTGTAAGAAGCTCAAGCTAGCTACGTGGAGAACTAAGGTCTGGGCCAACAAGCTGCCAACCAGGTGAGGGAGGCCATCTCGGATGTAGATCCTCCAGCCCCACTGAACCATCCCAGGTGACACTAGGTGAAGCAGAGAAAACCTGTCCCTGTTGAGCCTTGCCCAAATTGCAGAATAATAAGCAAACAAAATAGTTGTTGTTTTAATTCACTAAGTTTTAGGAAAGTTTGTTAAGCAGTGACAGATAACTGACACAGTGCCCTGAATTACTGCATAACCCTATGTTCTAATAATAATCAGCACACCAGTGGAATGAAAATGCTGATTACCAACACAACACCCAGCATTTTCTCACCTGAACAGCATCACCGTTGAAGACCCCATCTATTATGAAATAAGTCCAGAACACAGGCCATTCACATTCAATGTTTTCAAAGAGCTTGAGTTCAGCAGGGTCATAATGCAATCGGTTTGGGTCCTAGAACCAAACAGGTAAACCCTCTAAAAGGTAATGTCAGATTACATACATAATACCATTGTACCTCACTGGGTGTCCCTTGCTTTCTGATTCAATGCAGCTTTGAGGCTGGCATAATTAGGATTCTGCTATAATGGGGAGATGCTATTTTTGGCAGTTTTCCATGGTAAAGTTTCAGAAAAGTAAATCAAATGTACACAACACTCCTGGGTAGTTTATTATTTTAAGCTTACTATATCTCTATAAAAAATAAATAGCAATTTGCCTCTCAGTGCTGGGCAGACTATCTGTTTTATTGATATCATTATATCAGTCACTATGGCAAAGGAACCCAAGGAGACCACAGGTAGCCTTTTAAAAAAACGTGTGAGCCACAGAACTGTTTGTCCTTGTCTAAAAGCTGGTTTTAAACCACCAACTTGCTGTCCTCCAGATGATCTTACTATTCTATTGCCTAACTCCAGCTTGCTGACTCCAAAATTAAGACTTCCTTCCAATATTCCAACATGTAAGTTTTATAAGCAACAGAGGGAGAACACCACAGTGGCAACTTAGATATGAAGCAGTTAAGGAAACAGAAGAAACAATCTTTAAATACAACCTCTCTTGGGGTTTTATAACCATCTCGAAGGAAGCGACAGCATCCATAACGCCCCTAAGAAGATAAAGAAAAAAGATGCATTTGATGAAACAGAAGAATTTCTTTGCCTCTTTGATTCAAGTCAGCCCTTCACCCCCTTTCCCATGAATCTTTTAGTAACAAAATGGGTACCAAATGCTCTTTGCTATCAGTACAAAAACTTATTTTTAAGTAATAAGCAAAGTAAATTCAGGTTTGATCAGTGCTCGGAAGGGAATGCCAAAACCTTCCATTAGAGTGGCAGTCAGGGCTGAGAGATTAATTACCCATAGTTCACTGAATGACCATCCTTTCATTCTGATTTGCTGTATCGTGCAAAGATGCAAAGGGGCCCTTACTGCTTGGAGAAGCCACCAAGGCAGATACGTGGATTGACTGGACTGCTTCTACTGGGAAGACTGGAAAGCCACAGGACATTCCAGACTCCTCACAGTTAGGCTCTGGATGCAAAGAAGCCTGCACCTGGCAAGAAGTAGGTGAGGTAGGTGGTAGGGCTTCCTGTGGCTTAGGGCCATCGCTGCTGGTTTTCCTGCTGCAGGCTCCAGTGTTCCTCTCCAGCTTCTTGGGGGTCAGGAAAGAAGGACAGTGGCAGTGCTCTCTGAATCTGCCTCCCTAATTCCTGGATCGCAGTTTTGGGTGTCCATTGCCCAATTTCTTAAGTACGTGGCACTACTCTAGCACTGGCCATGGAGGCAGGCACACTCCTAGTGGCCAGCACTGTAGTGTTTGGGGCATCCTGGGAGGCCCGGTCTTGAACTGCTCCCCTTGAACCACTTCATTCCCGACATTAATTCCCTGCCTACTTCCACAAACTAAAGAGGTTCTGTTTTCTCCACTGGCCCCTGAGACAGTGCCTTCTTTTGGGGATATGGTTGGAGACCCTTTACCCCTTTGTTTCCAAAGGCTAAAAGCATTTTTCACCGCATCTAAGTAGGATCATCAACATGCAGATTTCAGTTTAGGAAACTTACATTCTTCAATCATTTTACTGATAACTTCAGTTGGCTGGAGTACTGAATAACCTTCTCAGTTTGGTGTAATGTTGTCATAGTTGCTGCATTTCACCTCGGAGCGGGGATTTTTTTAAACCTCAATTTAACTTTGGGAACTCCAAGTCCCCAGAAATTGTGTGTAAAGTTTCAGGATATTGGGACATGTACATTTTTTTCTGGCGGGGACTTTACCTTTCAAGAGATTCTTAAAAGAATCTGTCTGGGAATCTCTAAAGGGTTAAGAAGCTCTGCCTTAGAAGTACGGGAGTGATACGAATTGGGGTTTAAAGGTGCCAGCTTGAATTGAAGCTCTGCTACTTAGAAAGAGAACCAAGGCATTGATCACTCCAAGACTTATCCAGACTCAGCTTTGGAAACCTCAATCATGAGTCGACTTAGATACTGAGCGATTGACCTCATGCAGAACCGAGGCCTGGGTGAGCTGCTCCACGTCACTGTCTGAAAGGGGCACTTAACACAGGGCAGAAGGGCACCAGTGTGACTAATGCTTACCTGGAGCTTGGAAATAATTTCATTTTTGGTCACATTCACAAGGTTCACATCTTCCACTGCAAAGGCCGGGAAAGAAATAATGGAAAGAAGCCCAGCATCAATCTCTTTAGATGTCGATGCTCTTGGCAGCATGGAGAACAGAATAGACTGAACGAAAAACAAACAGGTGGCTTTAACCTCGGAAGCACTAATAGTTACATACAGTATCTAGAAACGACGACTTTACCCCAAGGGAACATTTGAATGAGTTTGCCAATTTTGAGTAGAGCTTTTTCCTACCAACATGGCCCCTGCTGGGCGACCTCGCCTACCCAGCCAATGCTTCCTGCTCCTTGCAGGAGAAAAGGAGGCTGGGGAGAGCAGTAGTATGCCTGGAGCCCGTGCTGAGAACTGTTTGTCTCCCTTCCTTTCGTGCCTTCTGTTGACTTCGCTGGGCCTTTAGGACATGCAGGGAAGGGACTAAGGACTACCTTGTCAGTAGGCTAGCGTGTCCTGGCTGTGAAGATAAGAGACAGAGAAGAACACACATATGGGACCAGGCCAGAAAAATGTCTGGCTTCTGTGGAATGTGACCAGTTGGACTTGGTGACCCAGGAACTACTTAAAGAAGTCAAATTCAAAAGACCACACAAACAGGCAAAATGGTTTAGTCAAAACAGAATTAGTTTAGGCCTAGAAAGAATGGGTTACTTAGTGGCACTATAATATGGCCTCAATTATAAGGTGGTTGGATTAGGTACTGTACACTAAAGGAAGGTGAAATTATAAAGAAAAGTTTGGGAAGGAAAGAGAGCTAACACTGAGATCTAACATGTACAGACATGGGACTAGACCCCTGCAAACATAAGCTTATTAAATCTTCTATATGAAGAAGGAATTCGAGAACTATGTCCAATTCACACGTGAGGACTGAGACACAGAGACTCATGCCTAAGTGCATGCAGCCAGTCTGCGACAGAGCTAGGATTCTAACCCAGGTCCAGCTGGCTACAGAGCTCATGCAATCTCTACTAGGGACTACACATCTATTAAGATGCATACCAGCTTGACTTTATTAAACCACACCCAAAGAAATAGCAGACTCCCCACTAGGGACTATATAATGGAGGGAAATGGAAAGAGCTAGAAGGAGTTAAATATGGGGGGGAGCCCTTCAGCTTCAGAACAAAGCTTCATTTTCTATAGCCAAATGACCCCCAAGCCCAGTTCTTTAACTAGTCACTCTCCCTCGGCTCTCTGCCTGAAACACACACTCCCACCGGAAGTGCTCTGCTTACAGGTTTTTATGTATCTCACTCCCACAGCCCTAGCACAGTACCTGGCATGCAGTAAGCCCTCACTAAATAAGAGTTTGCTGATGTGTCAGCAACTGGTGACCTACTGTCTGCTAAATGGAGTCCCCTAATCTGCATCAAATCACACCTTTCTCTGACCGGGATTTCAGGGAGATTTTACTAATTTGCCATTTCTCCCATATCATCTCTCCTCCACCATCCATTCTGCCCATTTCCACTCCCTCCCCAAGTGAACTGCGCCTGCTAGTCATCCAATTTGGGGACCTCATGAAATAAACCTGAGAGAAAACCACCTACATGCTCAAAAAACATAAAACCGATTTTGCCTCCCACGAAACAAGGCTGCCTTGATTATTGACTCCATATACAACATCATCACTGTGTCTTATGTTTGCACAGTACTTTCTGGTTTACAAAGTACTCTGACAAACTAAGTTGATTTACTCTGATCCTTGTGACCACCTTGTGCAGCAGGAGGAGGTCTCAGTATGCCCATTTTATGGATGAGGGAATTGAAACTCAAAGAAGCCAAGTACCATCAAGCTAGGAAGGTGAGGATCTGAACTGGAGCCCAAGTCTTCCACTTCATGAGTCTCTTTCTCTACT